CCTCGCACAATTCACTTGTTCTCCTTCGTTTGCATGGCGGACTCCCATATTTAAAGATAACCAGCCAGCAGCACATGACGGGAGAGAGAGAGAGAGAGACCTGTCCGTCAGCCTGCAAGAGGAGACGCACACACTTTTCCAGATTGGTTTGACCGGGCTCCCCATCCCTGGTCCTGGGGAGCCCCCCGTCCAGTTATTCCTATAGGTCACCCTAAACCAGGGGGTCCCCAACTCCCGCCCCAATCCACCACATCTTATAGGCCACCAGCCCCTGTCCTGGTGTGTCCCCATACCAGCGAGTCAGAGAGTCTTACAGGTCACCCTCGACTCCCACGTTAAAGAGGATCCCCTCAAAGGCTTCTCCATTCAGGGCTAAACCCAGTTCCTTCAGCCTGTCAGTGCTGGACAGCCCCTTACGGCCTGGACCGCATCTGGCTGCTCATCTCTGGATGGCTAACAGAGCAGCAGTGCTCACAGGCATTGCCCTTTGGGCTGACTTCGGCAGGACCGCTGGGGAACTAAAATATTCAAATCACCCCCCCCAGGCAGACACATACAGCCCCCACAGCTCAGGACTCGTCTAACCTGTCCCCGCCCAGGACACAGCCCTAAGTCAGGAACGAGGCAGTGAAGATCAGGGACCAGGTGGGTGCTGGTGGGGGTCAGGGAGTTCTCGGAGCGCTGGGAGAGAGGCCACGGTCTGTTTGCACTGTAGCTCACACCCTGCGGCCACAGAGAACACAGATCTCCGCTCTCTCACAGAGGCCAGAGGGGCGTGCAACTGCGCAAGCCAAGAGCCTTCGCCCTCACACTAACTCTGACTCTACTGGCTTACTGTGGGGGCTCATTCAAAATCCCTGACTGCACCAAGGGGACACTTGGCTGGAACGGTTTTTTTTTCTGTAATCCGAACAATAGCTAAAGTGACCTGACACATGCACCAGTTAAAAGGCATTTCTTCAGCGTGAAGAAAGGGCCAAAATGATAACAGGTTTCACATGAGCTACCAAGAGTTCAGTTATTGAACCGAGCACTCGGACAGAACAAAGAGTCAGCTTTGTGGGGGGTGCCCAGGACCACATCTGGGAACTCCTAGCACTTCAGAAAGTTTCCCAGCTTTGTGGCTCTAAAGGGAGAAGAAGGAGCCGATTAAAAAGCTGCACAGTGTCACTGACCAGGACACCTCAATCACTCACTGACCAGCACCAACCACCCACCTGACACACTGACCAGTTCACCCCACTCACTGACCAGGACTGACCAGCACACCAAACGCACTGATCAGCCACCTGACACACTGAGCAGGACACGTCACTCACTGACCAGGACTGACCCTCCTCTCTCCCTGACCAGCACACTGATTGACATACACACTGATCTGCTATTACAAAATACGCATACGAATGACAGAAGCTCAAAACGTATTCTTTTGGGTGGCTCTGTGGCTGGAAGGTTGCCGGTTCGAATCCCACAGCCAGCAGAAGGAGTGCTACTCCGTTGGGCCCCTGAGCAAGGCCCTTAACCCCAGCTGCTTCAGGGCTTCTGTACAATGGCTGACCCTGCGCTATGACCCCAGGCACTCTCCCTGTCTGGGTGTCTCATGGAGAGTATTAGAAAAGACAAATTCCTAATGCAAGAAATTGTATACGGCCAATAAAGTCATCTCTTATTGTCTGAAACTAAACCCAATAGCAGAGCTGGAAACCTCTCGTCTGAAGTACCCTGGGCAGGACAGCGGTACTGTACAGGTCTCTGGAGTCCAGGCCTCGGAAAAACAGAAGCCAAACTTTGCACCTTTTATTACACGCACACAAAAAAACTGCAGACATCCGAGGTCCCTGGACACTGCACGGCCAATGAGCAGCTAAACGTCCGCTCACTTTTTTTCTGCTCCTCGGGGCGAGACTAGAACCGGTTTGGTCTCCTCAGGTAAAAAAAAACAACAACCAAACAGCAGCCTCCTCTCCGGTTTTTCTATCTATTGAGGGCGTCAAACTTTGAGCAGACTTCGCGTTATCGGAGCAACAGCTGATAAAAGTCGTCGAACTGAACCGGAGGAGGGGGAGACACACGAAAAGCTAGGAAGCGTCTAACCGCGCCGGATAATCAGGTTTTCAGACCGACGCCACGGAGCAGAGCTCAGCTCCCCGGAGAGGAGAGGAGAGGAGGGGGGTGGTGTCACCACGGGCCACGCTGCCGGGACAAAGCGCACCCTGTGCTGCAACACAATATCGCTTCAACCGAGCCATTGTTTCGGGAGGCCGGCAGGATTACTAAAGTGAATTATTTGCCAGGTGACAGAGGGTGCTGGGAGAGAGGGATTCAGGCAACGACACACAGACGCTCCACTCCTTCTGGCGCGCCGGCCGTCGTCCAGTTCATCAAATAACCAGTAACAGGTGTATTCCCTGCTGCAAAGAGAAGAAACGAGGACCCAACGACGTTTCGGCCGCGGAGCCTTCTTCAACAGCTGAAGGCGGCCGAAACGTTGTGTTTTCTTCCTTCTCTTTGCAGCAGGGAATAAAGCCTCTGACGTGTCCCTTTGCAGCCCACGCAGGCTGACGCAGCTCCTCCACCCGAACCACAATTAATCAAATACCGAGGCGGCCACCCCTCCCAAAATAAATAAATAAACAAACAAAACGACCGCAGGGAGGAATTTAACGCCTCCGTGACGGGGATCTCCCGGGAGCTACCGTATGCTACGGGACTTCTCCGCGCATATGTGAAGATGACCTGTTGCACAGCGGAATCCCAGGTCGAGGACACAACCAGCACACCCAGAAGTAGCTCCTACCTCCTCAAGCGACGAGGGCAACGGTGTCTCTAGCGTCGCCTGGCCGGGCTGACGGACGAAATCGCTCTCCCACACGGACACACACTGTACACTTCGCCGCCCCAGCCCCGTCACGGGCCGGACACGCACACCTGTCGCCCACACCTCCCCGGGCAGAGACGCACGAGAAACCCGGCCGCCCTAGACACTGACCCCCCCTTATCTGCGATTTCACTCTTTTCGTTAAAGACCCCCCCCATTAACATAAGTCGAACCCGCTTCATTCAGGTCATTTTCCTGATGCACGAGTGAACTCTCACACGCACCTCCCCGATCGCAGTATCTGATCGCCGCTGGCGGACTTGAAATGACCACCGCATCGGACTACAGCAGTTTCCACACGAGGGGGTTGGGTGAATTCCCTTTATCGGCGATAAAACCATCGTTTATTCTCGTTATATTCGTCTTCTCCTCCTCCTCTCCCGGTGGGAGCACCGTGCGGACACGCCGTGCTTGAGTCGTGACCGGGGTGGGTGTTGTTGTTGTTGTCATATTTACTGCGTTTGCTAGCGGCGTTGGACAGGAGTGTCGGAAACACAAGCTTTCCAGTGCACGAACACGAAATTAAACCCGGGGACGTCCGGTCAGTGGCGAACAGCATGCAGACTGGGAGACGAGCCGCAGCAGTCTGGAAATGTCCGTCACACGGCGTCACGGAGGACACAGCCCGACCACCGGTTTAAGTCTCAACACGATTGTGCAGCTGTGTCTTCCCTGCCCATTGACTGACTGACGCTCACGTCCCCTTTCCCCGGCTCGGGAGTGAACTGGGCGAGCAGGCTCGGCTACATCATCATCATCATCATCATAAAAAAACAACTCATCGGAATAATTCTGCACGTTTCCGGTCGGGCTCACCTCAATCCCGACCTCCGGATCCGGGCTTTTCCATGACAGCAGGTAGTGGTAATATCCAGACTAGTCGGCCCGTCCGCAGGAAACGGAGAGGGGGGGGGGTTTCGGGGTTCTGCAGACGACTAGTTCCTCTTTCTCTCCCTGTCCCCCGATATGCGCAACCTACCTACAGCCACCGCGGGGCATCCGGCTCTCTCCTCCGCCTCCCGTCCCAGTATTTCCTGCCTGAAGGTGTCCCGGCTCCCGGAACCGCATCCTTGTTCACCTGCTCCCAACAGGACCTCGTATCCCTCCGCCGCGGCCAGGCGGCTGGTCCGGCCGAGCCGCCGCCGCCGCCGCCGCGGTGCATGCTGGGAGCCGCCGGCTGCTGCTGCGAGGAAGGGGGACTATAATCGACCCCCCACCCCCCGAAAGCACACCGTTACGATGATTTGATTTTAGTATCTGTATACTTTTTATTTATTTATTTTGTTGTCTTTTGTTTTATAACTATTCTGATGTCTGTTTTGCTTGTCTTGGGCTGGACTGCTGTAACACATCAATTTCCCTACGGGATTAATAAAGTATTATCTATCTATCATGCCTATCTCTATGGAAGCCCGTTTCCGCCAGGAAAATCTGCCGAACACCGCGCCTTTAAAAAGATAAAATACGGTCGCGCATCCGCAGAGCCTTGTCCCGTTAAAAATGTCGCAGCTGTATCCTGAGGGTCAGAGGTCGCTCAGAGAACACGTATCCAGTGGCTGTCAAGGATAACCATTCGATTACCCGGTTTCTAAAGACCTGGAGCAACTGAAATGTGATCGATTAAGCGGGCTGTTTTAAAACGACGTCATTTAGTGAACACAAGTCAGAATATCTTCAGCCCGGATGTACCACAGGTCCTTTAAATGAAAGCATGGATCGCTTAACTGGTCAATAATATACAGGCGCCTCCAATGTTTGAAAATCAAGCGCGACTGGATTCGGGATGGTATATCCATTCTGTGGTTAGACTCGGCAGCATTGCTGCTGCTTAGTGTGTAGGTGACTGACCCAATCTAGATAAAACAGTCCGTCAAATGAATTATCTCATTTAAGTCGTTAACTGACATCCCTTTAACCAAACGTAAAAAATTCGGAAACTAACAACGCAAAACACAATGGTTAATCACAGAAAAATTCATCTGTTAATACAGTGTTTTAATGCCATATGAAACACAAGCAAGATGCACAACGCAGCACAATATAGCAGTACCCTAACTCAGGATTAATCACATCTGCTCCAGCCATTAAGCAGGTTCACCTTATGCAGATCCGCATTTGTTGAATTGATCATCAGAAGGATCAATACAGTAAATGAAGGAGCTATTGGGTTAAGTACAGCAATGGAGCACGTTGCAGAGGTAAGCTGGTCACGTGCAGAACGCTATTAAGCAACTAAAACAAAAACGCCTTAACATTACGAGTTTGGAGTATTTCAATGAACACATTTAAGTTTTAATTGAATGCCGAATCTCCCCCTGGCCTTTACCAGTCATGGCCCCTAATAACCCCCCTCTCTGAACTGGCTCCATCCCTCTGCTCTCCTCCCCACTGAGAGCTGGTGTGTGGGGAGTGGACTGGAGCATCATCCAGGTGGGGGTACACACTGGTGGGGGTGGATCCCCATGACCTGTCCAGCGCTGTGAGTGGGGTGTCCAGAAAAGCTATATAAGTGGAGAGAGAGAGTCTTTATTATCCCTGAGGGTGCAATTTGTTTTACAGCAGCAGTGTTAGTGTAAAGACAGACAGAAAAAAACACATCAAGGACAACAAGATACATACATCTTTGCATCAAGAACATCAAGTGTTAAGTAATGACATGGCAACAGGTATGAATGAGAACTTAAATCTATTGGTTTTGGAGTTGGGGAGTCGGTATCTGCGTTCTGATGGGAGTAACTGGAAATTGTTAAACAAGGGGTGTGAAGGATTGTCAGAGTCAGAGTGTATGGATCATCATCATCATCATCATCCAGGTGGGGCTGCACACTGGTGGTGGTGGAGGAGAGTCCCCATTACCTGTAAAGCGCTTTGAGTGGAGTGTCCAGAAAAGCGCTATACAAGTGTTAGAATTAGTATCATCATCATCGTCATCATCATCAAGTGTGACTGTATGAGAGCTGCAATGACGGCGTGGTCCCACTAGATATCGCTGTCGGGAAAAAAAAAAACTGAACGGCACCCTGGCTTTCACACGACCGTGCCTCCTCGCAGATGTCAGGGAGTTTTTAAGAATTAAAAAGAATTTAGTTTACGCCTTTTACCCTACAGAATCTCAAAAAAGCCCCTTCTGAGAGTTACAGTGCAGCACGGTATAGGCAACACAACATAAACATTTAATCTTTACATTGAAGCAACCATCGTGAGGCAGGGGAGTTGGTACTGGGGCAGCAGTGGGGTACAGTGGTTAGCTCTGGATTCAATTCCGGACCTGGGGTACTGTCTGTGTGGAGTCTGCATGTTCTCCTCATTTTCCTGTGGGCTTCCTCCGAGTGCTCTGTTTTCCTCCCACACTCAAATGACAGGCTAGTTTGTCAATAATAATAATAATAATAATAATAATAATTGCTTACACTTACATAGCGCTTTTCTGGACACTCCACTCAAAGTGCTTTACAGGTAATGGGGATCCCCTCCACCACCACCAATGTGCAGCCCCACCTGGATGATGGGATGGCAGCCATAGTGTGCCAGTCCACTCACCCACACACCAGCTCTCAGTGGGGAGGAGAGCAGAGTGATGAAGCCAGTTCAGAGATGGGGATTATTAGGAGGCCATGATTGGTAAGGGCCAATGGAAAATTTGGCCAGGACACCGGGGTAACACCCCTACTCTTGTCGAGAAACGCCCTGGGATTTTTGATGACCACAGAGAGTCAGGACCTAAGTTTTACGTCTCATCCGAAGGAAGGCCCCTGTTTACAGTATAGTGTCCCCATCACTATACCGGGGCATTGGGACCCACAGAGACCGCAGGGTGAGCGCCCCCTGCTGGCCCCACTAACACCTCTTCCAGCAGCAACCTTAGTTTTTCCCAGGAGGTTTCCCTTGCAGGTACTGGCCAGGCTCATACTTGCTGAGCTTCAGAGGGCTGCCAGCTGGGAGCTGCAGGGTGTCATGGCTGCTGGCTGGTTGGTTAATTGGCAGTATGTGCCCTGTGATGGGCTGGTGGCCTGTCCAAGGTGTACTCATTGTGCTCACTGCTTGTTCTCCCACGACCCTGAATTTGAAGAAGTTAGGAAATAGATGATCGGGTGGACATTGGTACTAATGCCTCACAGCTCCAGGGGTTCAGGGCTCGAATCCAGACAGGAGTGTCCGTCTGTGAGGAGTCTGCACGTTCCCTCTGAGTTCATGTGGGGTTCTCCAGGCCAGCATGGTTGCCTGCCACCTGGGCTTCCAAGGCTGCCTTGAACGCCTGCCTCCGTCATTTCAAGAATTTATCTCTCATGTAGAATTCACCTTTTATCTTTATAAAAAAAGCTTTCTCAAAATCTCAATAATACTGTATCATGTGCTATGTGTGCATCTATGTAAACCTGCTGCTTATTCAATCAAGTGCAGTAGTTAAGCAAGACTCACTTCCTCTAAATCCATGGAAATTCTCCCCTATAATATTACTACCCTACAGATGTTCCTCTGGTGTGATACTAATTATCATCTCCATGTAATAGAAAGCGTATTGGTTTTTAATTACTTGATTTGGCTTTGTTGCCCTGTTAATGGATGGGCACTCTGTAAGCAATTTTCCAGTCCATGGGCAATACCCCTGACAGAGTGACCGCTGGAACTGTTATGTTAATGACTCAATGGTCTATAAATAACACTTCTCGTTTTCTTTAGTACAATTGATGGAATACCACCAGGCCCTGGAGATGAATCTTAATTTGCGCTATTAATACCTGTGGCACTCCTGTCTCTTCTGTGCTAATGCTTTTTCACATAGAAAAATGGTCTCTCCCCAACCTGAGGCAACCTGTTTCGTTCCTGGGAAACACCCTGAGTGGAATATTGATGCCAGTTTTTTTTACACCGTCCTCTGTTGTTCTTTGGCTGTGTTATTCACCCATCCATTTCCAGCCACTTCATCCAGTTCATGGTCCTGGGGGAGCTGGGGTCTATCGCAGCAAGCGACAAGCACAAGGCAGGACACCCCCTGGACAGGACGCCAGTCCATCACAGCGCTATACAGACACACACACTCACACCAGGGATGATTTTCCCAGAAGCCAGTTAACCCACCAGCAAGACTTTGGACTGTGAGAGGAAACCCATGTGAATACAGGGAGAACATGCAAACTCCACCCAGACAGCACCCTAGGTCCAGGACTGAATCCAGTCCCCAGCCCATGAGACAGCCATGCTTAACCACTGCACCACACTGCACAAGCACCGGCCATTCAGCTCCTCCGGTCTGTTTGGTAGCTAGCAGTACATTGCTACAAAGATGTCAACTAGCTGCTTCTTAAAAGAAGCCAAGGTTTCAGTCTCACCCAGAAGGCTGGGCAGTTTGTCCCACATTCCCACCAGTGTCTGCGCAAAAAAAAGTGCCTCTTGTTCTCAGACTTCAGTGCTCTTCCCCAGAGTTTCCAGTGCTGTCTTCTGGTTCATGTGGCACAGTTCACGCAGGGCTGATTCTGTCAGTGTCTCTGTGTATCAGGTTCTCTGTGTAAGAAAACAAGGCTCAGTTCCTTCAGCCTGTCAGGACATTCCCTTGAGCCCCAGAATGTATCTGATTGCCAGTTTCCAGAGCAGAAGTATCTTTTCTAAAACACAGCGACTATATTCATTGCAGTTCATTCAGCTGCAGTTCAGTGCATTCCTTTTCTTGCGTGAAGGGTCAGGTCTCGAGGACAACAAGAATGTTGTGTGACAGTAAGAATATGGCAAAAATTCAGGACAGGCCTTCTGGAATAGGGGATAGAGTAGAGGGGTTCTGTTAAAGTGGAGGTTACAGTAAGAGAAGAGAATAGTCCTGTAACAATAGTGGGCTGTACTAGGGGCTATGATATTACCTCAGCAGAGACAAGACTCATTCAGTAAGTTAGTAAGGACTCTTAACACACAGCTGGTCAGTCACAAAACCATTCTGAACACAACTCTGCTCTGTGACGAAACCACACTTAACACACTGGTAGTCGGTGACAAAACCACATTTAACACACAGCTAGTCGGTGACGAAACCACACTTAACAAAGCTGATCGGTGACAAAACCACACTTAACACAGCTGGTTGGTGACAAAACCACACTTAACACACGGCTAGTCTGTGACGAAACCACCTTTAACACACAGCTGGTCGGTGATGAAACAACACTTAACATAGAGCTGGTCGGGGACGAAACCACACTTAACACACAGCTGGTCAGGGACGAAACCACCCTTAACACCTCTGGTCTGGTAACCAGGCTTCATTAAGGAATCTTGTGTCAACAGCCCTTTACTTTAAACTCCAGACAAATGGCTTGCACTCTTATTTATTTTACATGTTCTAATTTGTCAGTAAGTTATTATTTCTTGTTTATGTGCATTACACAGCCTGAAGTCCTGGTGACCACGAGGGGATTGTGGAAACGATGCCATGGCTGTGTGTTTTACGGTGCTCTCTGAAGTTTCTAAACTGACTGGCGTGATAAATCAGGCTCTTGCAGTTCTAGGTTCTATTGTGGCATAATTGTGCCATAAATCATGGTCAATAATGAGGCCGGGCTGTCCCCTGGACTCTAGACCAGGCCAGGACTGGGAGGTTCACTCATCAGGGCTGATTGACTTGAACAGAAGTCTGCAGCCCTGTGGCAGGAGAGTCGTAAGAATGACCTGGTTTGCCATCCCGGCCTGTCGCAGCCATCGGCAGCTGCATGAGGAGAGACGAGCATCGATTTCCACATCTACAGCGTTTGAGGCCGACCTTCAGCACACACAAAGACACCGCCGCAGATGTACTGTGCCCCCATGGCCACCAGAGGGCGAGCTTGCACCAGGGATTTTTCAGGCGACTCGGAGACCAGAGAGAGAGAGAGGGGGGCGAGGAAGAGTGGCATTCTGAGGCGATGGGAAAAGAGGCAAGGAGAGGAAGAAAAAGGTGGAAATGCCCAAAGGCCAGAGAGAGGTCAAGCAGAAGCCAAGGGGAGATAAAAGGAGCAAAATGGAGACTCAGAGACAGACACAGCTGATTACATGAACACCCCTGACAGGCCTATTCTGTAAGCGGGCCATCAGGGTCTCTGTGAGAGAGACAGTCACTATATGCTCACTAGTCTGGGTTCTCTGCACCCTAGATGCATCTTCCGGGCACCAGAACTTTTCCTTGCCTACCATCCTGTCCACCAGCCAGGCCTTAACCCCCCCCATCTTCCTCTCTGCTCGTCTCTCGCCCCCCTCCCTCCAGCCTCCCCACTGTCTTGCCCCGGCTCATGACGCAGGCTCTGCCCCTGCACTGTCCCGTGTGGCCTCCCGGTTCAGGCTTGTCTAGCCCGAGGACTTTTCTACCGCGCATGAAAAACATAAGAACACTAGCGGACAGGAGGAGGCCTGTCCAGGGATGAGTATCCAACTCGTCCTCAGCATCTCATCCACCTCTTTCTGAAAGGAAGCCAGGGAATCGGCTTCAACAGCATGGCTGGGCGGCTTGTTCCACACTCCCACCTCTCTTCGGGCACAGGCATGCCACTCGGTCCTGGTGTCGAATGCACTGCAACAAGGTTTCCGCCTGTGGGCTCTGGTTTCTGTGTCCGGGTTTCCTCTGGAAGAAACGCGCAGGGTGGTCTTTGTCCATGCCTTGACAAGGGCTTTGAATACGTCAATCAGGTCCCCTTTCAGAGTCATCTCCGTTCCAGCCTGAAACGGTTCAGAAAAAACGACATGAAGACGACTTGACTACCTGTACAGTTAAGTTATATTATACAATTATACTGCAATTTACCAGCTTCCAATTTATTTCGTGAAAAATATTGCATTATTATATGCGACTCGCCTAAAATGCGCATATCAACTAATACTGGTATGTTTACAACTGCTAATGACAACATCAAAAGTATTCTTAATTCCAGTACCCAGAGTAAGACACAGCAGTTGTGACATTTTCCTCAGCTTTTTGCAAGGTTAATGAATTTTGCATCCGGGGGTTTTCTGTGGATTTCAGAGGAGTGCCAAATGAGCACATTAATCTCTTCTTATGAATGGAGCTCAGGGCCATCTTGTGGAATTAAGGCAGATTTAGGATTATTACAGCACCTCATTCCACACTCCTCCTCTAACTGCACCCACAGACAGCTCAACGCCTGTTATGAGACAGATTAATAAGACCAATTTCTTTTCACCCATCCTTTTCAGTGCACAAGACGGAGACAAAGATGAAGACAGAGCTTCTGGCACATTCACAGTGTCCACACACGAAAACAAAACTCAACCAAATAATCACAGAGCAATAAGATCCATTAAATGAAATAATACAGATAATATGGAAAAGGTAAACAGAAATAAATAAGAGGCACACCTATAGTTTGGGAACAATTTGGAATTGGGAAGACAACTCAGGACAGATTTAGGATAATAAAGCACAGATCTTGCTTAACTAACTGGTTAAGAGTTCTTTGCACCAGCGACAACAGTAATGGACTCACACAGAGAATAAAATACAGTATATTTAGATTTTTAGAAGGTTTTCACGAGTTCAGAAAAGTCCCTCATAAAATATAAATTCTCAGATTGCAGAATGAACCTGGGCTTGTACTCAGGACAGGTTCAATAGAAAACAGAGAGCATAAATAAGAGCTAGCTGCTGAAATGAGGGTGATGTAATTAGTGGGGTACCACAGGGGGCTGTACTAGGGCCTCTGCGTTTTAAACGTCTAACAGTGTTCTAGATTCCAGAGAAGGGAGTGAACCAATCATGTTTGCAAATGGTTCCCGAACTGGAGGAGGATTAGAAAACACTGTAGAAACCTGCAAAGTACGTTCTGACAGATATTGGCCCGAGCAATCGCTTGGTAGAGGACGTTTAAATGTAGACAAGCGCAGAGTGCCACAGGCAGCAGGTAGCAAAAACACGAACCGCAGATATGAAGAGGGAAATGCTGAGCTTGAAGAACACGCCTATGAGAAAGACTCAGGGGCTTATGGTGAAGTCACATACCCCTTCCACATACGTGAGGAGCAGGTGGAGAGGATTCAAAGGCACCTCTTCAGAACAAACAGCAGAGGGCGCAAGGTGACACACTGGGGAAGCTACGAGAGGCGGCCTGGGCTCAGGCAGAGCCTAATTCTTCTTGCTCAGCACTTCCCCTCACGCAGTCTCGCATCGCACACTCGCACTCCCACTTTTCCCACTTTTTCCCACACTTTTCCCGTGAGACGTGTAAAATCACCTTGAGGCACGAGCGGATCTCCTTGGAAACAGACGTCTCTCCAGCTCCTCTCCTCCTCCTCCTCCCTGGCCTCGCCATGGTAAACATCGTATTTGACAAAACACACTCACTGCGGTGCTGCGATTGTCTTTTGAGCTGCAGTAAGCAAGCTCGGGAAACCGGGCGCAGCGCAGCTCGGGCCCAGATCGTGCGCGGAGGCCGTGGATTGGAGACTCGCGGCACGCGCCCGCTGGGAAACGGCTCCCGCTGGGAAACGGCTCCCGCTGGGAAACGGCTCCCGCTGGGAAACGGCGCTCCGTCCAGAGAAATGCTGATGGCTGCCGGCTGGAGCTCAGGGCGCTGGTGGGGCTAGCGTCGAGGAAGACTGTCCTTTTTCAGTTCCCTCCTGCCCTCCGAGCCACGTCGTACCACCGCAGGGACACCTCACAGGGACCTCCAGGGAGGGGGGGCTGAGCACCCCAAAGTTTCAGTATGCTGGGGCACTGGGTGACACTGAGGGCTGAAGTGTTACATCCCGAAGAAGCAGAGGAACAGGAACAGGAACAGGAACATGAGCATGAGCATGAGCATGAGCATGAACATGAACATGAACATGAACATGAACAAGAACAAGAACAGGAACTTTATTTTATATAGTGCCGCTGTGCTCCTCTCAGCTCAGGCCAGTGTTGATGTGCTGCAGTGAGGAGTGCTTGGGTGTGCCTGTATCCTCTCCTCCTCCAGCCCAGCTCTGTGTCCGAGCGGCAGGGGGGGGGGTTAGGGGGGTGGGCGTGCTCCTTAGAGTCCAATCAGACAGTCGCTGCGTCTGCATTAACCTCTCCCCCCCACACTCCCCTTCAAGCAGAGAGTGATGGATTAGCCCCGTGAAGACTGTTAATAAGCCCAGGATGCCTGCCTGCGTCTTCTTATTGAAATAGGAATGTAGCCTTGCCAATTACACTATCCCTTTTAGCGGGAGTCGGCTCCTACTTGGAGCAATGAAAGCAGCGGACTGGATTGTAACGCCCAAACTTTGTCCTCGTCTCCAGACAATCCCATACGCAGGGGATTCTGAGGAACTAAATCTCCTCAGTCTCGAGCAGAGACTCTTACAGAGACTAGTACTATTATTGTCCTGTTGTTATTATTTATGATGTGCGTGATGTACTGTCTACAATGTGTGGTGTCGCCTGCTGTACTGTGTAAGTCCCGAGAGAACAGAGCGAATAAGAATTTCAATGTGCATGAACATATGGCAATGTGTATTCCTTCTACTGTACAATTAACTCTTCTACTCTACAATAAACTCCTACTCCACAATAAACTCCTCTACTCCACAATAAACTC